ATGGAAATGCTGCGTTCCTCCGCCGATAGCGCGTAATTAGAACAACAGCCGCCGGCCTGGGGATGGCGGCCTGTGTGCAGCAAGACGACAACAACACATTCTGGACTGAACGACCAACACAGGCCGTTCATTTCTGCAACACGAGAAGCCACCGCGAGCCTCCACAGCCAACCTGCCGATCTGGTCTTAGCACCAGGCACGCACCGCCTGCGAGTGGCCAGCGGGGCGGCAGGCCAGCTTGGTTCCTGCATTAGCCCTGACATCCGCCAGACCACTTGCAGCGCCCAGATGCTTTGGCCCCTGTCGCCCGTCCTGTTTCCCCCTTTCAGTGGCCACTTGTTTCCGGTCCGCGCTACCGTGCTGTAATCTCCTGACGGTATATATCCAGGCAGCGAGGTCGCCTTGCTGTTTTTTCCACTTCACAGCCAAACTTTCGAGCTTCAAGTCCTTTGACCTTCGGTCGTCCATTCGTTGTTACCAACTAATACTATCATTAATAATACACACTCGCCAACTCTCTCCCACCACCTCCACCACCAACCAACACTTCCAACTCTACCGTTTCAAGTTCTAATACCCAACAATCAACATGCGTTACTCCATCGCCATCGCTGCCTTCGCCGGCCTTGCCGCTGCCGTTCCCCAATACGGCGCCTACCCCGCCGCCCCGGCCAGCACTCCCGCTGCCCCGGCCTACCCTGCCTACCCTGCTCAGCCCGAGTCCAGCAAGCCCGCCTACCCTGAGGTCCCTGCTGAGAGCTCCAAGGCTCCTGAGTACCCAGCCTACCCCGCTGAGACTCCCTCCGCTCCTGCTCCTGAGTACCCCGCCTCCAAGACCCCCGAGGTCCCTGAGCACGAGTCCTCCGCTATGCCTACTCCTTCGGCCTCCAAGCCTGCTGAGTACCCCATGGAGACTCCTTCCAAGCCCGCTGAGGTTCCCTCCGTCTCCACCAAGACCCCCGAGGTTCCTGAGCACGCCACCTCTGAGGTTCCCTCTTACCCTGCCTCCTCCATGACCCCTGAGGTCCCCGAGGCCGAGACCACCTCTTGCCTCAGCTCCACCACCATCACCGTCACCGTCCCCTACCCCACCGGTACTCCCGTCGTTCCTGGTGCTGGCAAGCCCTCCGGCTACCCCATGGTTCCCGGTGCCGGCAAGCCTTCCGGCTCTGCTCCTTACCCATCTGCCCCTGCCGGTGGTGCTCCCTACCCCTCTGTCCCTGCTGGCACTGGTGCTCCCCCTGCTGCTGGCACTGGCTACCCCACCAAGACCGGTGGCTACGTCAAGCCCTCCACCCCTGCTGAGTTCACTGGTGCTGCCTCTGCTCTCAACGTCGGTGGCTTCGTTGCCGGTGTTGGTGCTTTCGCTGCTTTCTTCTTGTAAATGTCATAACCTTCAATTGAGCCTGTCTACGGGCAGGCTATGACTTTACACGATACATTGCATCGAGGATTGGTCTTCACTTCAGTAGATATCCTTGGTGTCGGAAAGGGTAATTGTAATTAGTCCGGGGATGGTGTGGTTGAATAAGAACTTGGAAAATAATCTTTCGTGCCTCATGATCGTGACGCTTCTATGCAATCCTCTGAACTTGATGAAATGCAACATTGTCCCTCAATCCCCATCCACCTTTTCCTCTTGCTTGACTCCTAGTCTGAAAGGCTTTCCAATGGAAACCTTGAACCGATGCTAATTGAACTTGGACCTTGTGGCCTCTCAACGGTAGTCATGATCTGCTCTGGCATGCGATGTCGTCGCACATGGCTACACAGCGTCAGCTTATAGGCATGCCTTCTTTGCTTATGCTCCTGCGAACGTGCCTGCTTCTTTCAGTGCCGCAAAGTCAAGGATAGCGCTGCATGCGATGCGATGACGCATGACCGCCGTAGCGAATGCTGCCCATCGATTACTGCAAACTCTCGAGGTCGCTTCCTAAGAACACCAAAACTTCACCCCACGTTCTCTTGCACATCAACTTCGACCACCACCTCATCACGGACGGTGATGACCCTGCATGGCGATAATTGTTGGAAGCGTAGCCTCGAAGCTATGTTTCGGCCACGAACTATATTTCGATAGCCATGGTTGTTTCATCAGCCGTGCACCGTCGCCGCGCTGCGAACGCCACCCTCTACAGTTTTCAAGCTTTGCGCTAGATCAGCGCGCACCAGGGACATCTAGCATAGTTCCTTCTACGGGTGCTCGGTTCGTTGGCGCACGTCTAGTATCTGGATGCAGGAGCTACGACACGACCATGGAAACACAACGAGCTAATTGCGGCATGCCGAATGCCTCCGACAGATGCCCTCGTCCAGCTTGAGCAGACTTACCCAGCTCTGAAAAGGCACATTTCAATACTGAACTGCATGACGGACGACTCCAACAGTCTTGGGAATGCTTAGTCAATACTCGCGTCAACGGGTAAAAGGTGGGGTTCCGGTATCCTTTGCTGCATGAAACGGCCAACCACCAATAGTACTCAAAAACATCGTCTAGACGTCTGACTTTACAGGAATGAGCGCAGGGTCACGATACTACCGCCCGAATCCAGAGCTTACCCAGCTAGCCACGTCTCACCTGAGAACCTACTCAGTCCTGCCTGACATTCCTGGCAAATCGTATGAATTGGAGGCGTCAGTGGGCTTGCCATTTTTGGAGTCAAGAAATATCTGCTTGTCAGCTTACTTTTAGATGATAGGTCCTTTGTTTCGGATGTGTAGGCGAGGATACGACTCGGTACGCGAACGTTGGACGATCGTTGCCGATGTGCGAGCCAGCCTGACGGACCTGAGCTGGAATAATGGTATGGAAAAATTGAGAAGTATAAAGTGAGAGAGTAAACTTCCTGAAGTCAACCACGCGTTCGCTTTGGTTTCTGAACCACTCATCCTACCTGATCGATTTATCAAAGCCATCAAATCGGACTCCCTCGCTTCATCATGAAGACCTTCACGCTTTTCTCGGCCTTCCTGGCCACGGCCATCGCTGCCCCAGCCACACTTGCGCCAAGTGATATCACACCACGCACATTGGGCGTCCTCAAGGGTCTTGCCAAATGTCCGGCAAACCCAGCTCAACCCGACGGGAAATTACCAAAGGGAAGCATATCGACCTCAGCCCTGGTGCCCATCAGCGCGAGAAACCCCGACAAGGCCTACCCAGCTACCGAATGGGCGACCGTCACCCCAAAAGACAAATGCACAATCTTCAACCTCGAGCTCGACTCCGACGCCACCCAAGGCAAAATCTGCAACCTCGTCTTCGACTTCCCTTCTCTCGTCCAAGCACCCGGTCTCTTCGTCTTCAAAGGACCTGGGCATTTCACGTTCACTGGTTATGCCATCAACGCTGGTGCAGAGCCTGGTGTTACTACGTACAACAAGCAACCGGCTCCAGGCCCCAGTCCGCCCAACCCACCGCCAGTCCTGAAGCCAGGCAACAGCTACGTTATCAACGGTGCGCCGTGTGGAATACCGCCTGGTATTGGCAAGGTGACTGTCAGTGGAGCATTGTGTTCCGAAGACACGACGTTGACGTTCAAGCAAAGCGACTTGATCTGTCCGTTGGGCTTTTACGTTGTGCTTACTGATGATCCTAATGCGGGAGGGTATGCGGCTCCTCACTAAATGTCTGGTGTCGTTCAATGATCATAAGTAGCATTGATTCAGTACATTAGCGTAAAGACTCCAATTCATGTTTGCGAATTCCAACTTTGACATTCTCTCGCGCCTTCATGAAGAAACGGGGCTACATGTAGCGCGGTCGGGTTCGCTCTTTCCCTACCGTCATTCTGCATCGATGCAACTCCATCATCGTCCGATCAACATCGTTAATGCCGTTATGAGGGGTGTGAAGAAATATGCTATCTTGAGAATCGCAGCGATATGGACACGCATCGACGTGCATCGGAAGTCTCCGACACCCGATCGCTCTTGCGTGTTTGCGACGTTGCGCGGGGAAGCGTACTAACCCTATCAATCTCTACAGCGGCAAGAACTCGACTTACTTTGTATCGATCAACCAAACCGTCCCATTTGTACCATCGCAATATAACAAATCTGTTCCGTGTGTCATTTCCAGGATTCAGATGCGAATTATCGTCCCGCGTCAAATTCATCTAACTACCTAGAGGCTCAAGATGGAAGCGTGCAACAACACAACAACTGAACGTCTCAAGAACGCAACATGGTACTTCTTCGATCTCGACGACACTCTCCACGAATTTCGCAAGGCATCTTCCGCCGCCGTAGACGCGACACTCCACCTCATCCTGGCATACCACGCTCACCATGAACTTTCTTCCGGCAAGCCGCTCACAATCGCCGAGCTAAAAGCGGAATACCTCAAGATCCTCAAAACCGGCACATCTGCCGCATTCGTGGATGGCAAAACAAGTCACGAGTACCGCGCCGAGCGCTTTCAGGGTGTTATGAACGCTTTTGGTATTGATTGTACGGATAAACAGATGCAAGCCTTGCTCGACACGTACGAAACTGCAATTATGCAGAATCTGCAACTCAAGGAAGGCGCTATACCGCTCCTTAGAACACTCAAACAACAAGGGAAGAGCATAGCGATCATCACCGAAGGTCCCCAAGATTCACAAGAACGTACCGTTGCTGCTTTGGGCCTAGAGCCGTATTCCGACAGGCTAGTTACTACGAATAAGCTTGGTGTGGCGAAGATTGACGGCCTTTTTGGCAAGGCGTTGGAGATAATTGGCGTGAAGAGCGAGGAGGTGGTCATGGTAGGCGATAGTTTGGATAGGGATGTTGTTCCCGCGGCGGAAGCGGGGATAGACTGTGTGTGGTTTGTTCAGAAAGAGGAAGGTGAGAAGATTGTCACTATGGGAGGGGAAGAGAGGAGAGTGATTGTAGTGAATTCGTTGGGTCGGTTGCAGAGCATTATAGAGACAGCGGACTGATCATTGATAAGCCTGCAGCACATGTTGCGCAGATGCAAAGCAGAGGAAGGGTATGGAATAAGTCGTAGCATCCGCTCAATCCTCCCCGACCAAGTCCGTGGACCACTCCGGAATGCGATTTCCGTCCCCGTCGATGAGATTCCCCTCCTCGTCAATACGGTCTCCGTCTTCGTCGACGAGATTTCCATCCTTGTCGATACGCTGTCCGTTCTCTTTGATGATATTCCCATTCTTATCGAGTATGTTTCCGTCTTCATCCTTAACTGGCATGGAGATGGCTTCGGCAACTCGGAGAGAGCCATCTTTCGGGCGCTGAATGTGCTTCAATTTCTAATACCTTTAGTCAGCCATGATGAACCCCGAGGAAACGTGTCCGCGTTGTGTTGTCGCAAGACCACCAAAAAAAGGTCACTTACATTGCTCCAAAATTTTCTGCTCGGTCTGAACAGCATACCGCTGAAAGAGATGGCGTGGCCGCCAGGCTCCTACTGGCTGTTAGTAACGAGAGTTCCAGTAAGGTAAGAAGAGATCTACCTACATTCCACACTCTGTGCTCGTCAATGTCAGTCTGGACCTCGTGCGAACTGTTGACCCCAAGTTTGCCGATATTCGTCGCCCCGATTTCGGCTCCGGTGTCGATCTTACTGCCCGTCTTGTTCCACATGGCAATACTGCACTTCTCCGTGCTCCATGTGGCTGTGATGATCCAGACGCCGAACTGAATAATGTATGCGATATAGTTATCCGTTAATTGCTTCATGTTGTCCGTAATCCAATCCTCAATGATCTTGCGCGCATCAATATTAAACTTCTTGTGCACCACGTTTGGCGATACAACTACACCAGCGCCGGCTTTTGCAGTACTGCCCACTGCGAAATTGGCTCCAACGTCCACGGGTGCTTGGGCAGCGATTCCGGACACCTCAGCTTTGGCGCCGAAACCACTGCCTTCGTTCTTCTCGACAACCTTCTTGTCCCATGTGCATGTAGCAGGCTTGGTCAGAACGAGATCCTTCTTAGGGACCTTGTAATCGTTGGGGTTGTGCTCCTTGAGTTCAGTAAGATCGGTAATGACTCGCCACCCTCCATTTTCATCGAAGAAGCCGCAAGAGCCGGGATGGAAGTCGAGGTTAGAGGGTGGTGTATACAAGTAGGTGCCTTCGGTGCACATGCTCATAATTTGGGCGTATGCTGTCTCCATTTTGCTGTCGTGTGTGCTTGAGAATATGAAGGGTTCTGGATGAAACGCAGGTAGAGTGATTGAAGTCTGGTCTTTCCACACCTGAGAGAAGCTACCTATATAACGTCGCGCAAGTTGTTTACTACGAAGAAAAAGAAACAAACACTATGCGCTCAGAGCTGAGAGCTCCTATCTGCAGCTTGTCAAGCCATACCCCTAGTACTCTGGAGTAGCTAGGTTGACCCCAACAGTGATCGCCGAACAGAGGGTACAGCTGCGAATTTTTGGGCAAATGACGGGCTGCGCAAAGGTGTTGTCAGTCAAACACCAAGCACTGCTCCGCAGATCATGGAATACGGCGAGGCTATCGAAGATCATTTCCTCACTCTAATGTTGATCGATAGGGCATAGCGAGAGTGTCGAAAATCGTTCCCACACCTCTATGTCGATTGATAGGGTGGCACAGTGAGGGTACTGGAAATCATCTCCACCCATATGTAGTGATCGCTGGGGCGGCCCGCGCGCCATCGGTAGCTCCGAAGATACACAGATTGTACGTTACCCGCGGAGCGACGTTGTCATGTACCGTCGTCCTAATACACAATATGTACCAGAGCTTTGCGCTTGTGACTTTGCGCGAGGCTACGAAGGCGATCAGTTATTGGTGCTTGTAAACTCGTAACGAATATGCCCGTCGATTTCTGCGAATTTCGGTACGCCAACGCACATCCGAACTTCGATCCTGATCGCACCTGCGTCATTGAAAGTTTATAGTCTGGACTCCCGACCAGAATGCTGGATGTGGAGATGGTCGAAGCTTCCTATGATGTTGTTGTGTCGTCAGAAAGCCGCCATATCTGGTGGATCTAAGCGAGGTGGGCCTGCTGCGATGGCATTCGTCGTGGGCTTCTGCGGGTTTGACTCGATCGAGTGGCTGCGAGGCTATACGGCAGCCGCCATCAGCATGTCAGTGGACTCGTGTTCAGAGGGACGTCGCGCTATCGGCGTACTCGAGAACGCGTCGTTAGCGCACACGTCGCGAGAGCTGTCAGTGTCAGTGTGCTCCGTGCGCAATTTCGGCATTCGCTCCCGCAGTCCACGAGTCTTGCCGATGCCACAAGCGTGAAAGCAAAGGATTAGCACGGCCTTAGCATCAATCACTCTACCCAAGACCGCAAATTGACCATGATGATCGTCTCGAGACAACGGCAGTATTTTGAGCTGTCCTAGATGACCTACTAGCAGCAACCTACGCCTCCATCTCAGTCTCGCCATCACACTCCATTCCGTCCATCCCGACTTACATACCACATAGCCTCATGCCCATCACACCTCACCGTCCCCCTCGCTGCCACCTTCCCGCCATGCAAATGCGCAAACCGCTTGACCGCCTCGTCAATAATATCGGCCATATCCTGATTGTTCATATCGAACGAGAACTCATGCGGCGTGTTGGGTATAGCACCAATACTGAACCCGCAGGGAAATTGGTGCATGTGTTGCTGGTAGCCTTCTGGTTTGCCTGTGGAATGTCGGTGTTAGTGGGGTGATGAGTGGAGGTACGGGCTGGATTTACCTTCTAGTTGAACGATCCATTCACCGGCGTCTCCGAAGATGCTAAAGCACGACTCCTGGCATTCGGTTGTGGTGGGTGGGTTGGCTGCCGAGAGAGTGGTGTCTTCGTAGGTGAGTGTGTCGCAGTGGCCCAATGTGCTCTTGTCGCCTTCGCAATAATTGATGTCTGGGGAGAGTTGGGCTACTGACAGGGTGGCAGCGAGGAGGCTGAGAAAGAGAGATGGTGCTGGGTGCATATTGATGGCTTGACCTGGTAAGTTGAGAGTGATGGTGTGGAGTGGAAAATGGGTTGTGAGTGAATATGAGGTCGTCTTGTATGTGTTGACATGATTCTACGCCTTGCACATACATACGAGGTGCATCACAGCGTAGGGTAGTTATTGGATGGAAGATGGACTGATGTGAGACGTGCAGCGGTGATGCGAGGTAAGTCATATGCCCGCGGGGATCTTCAGATGAAGTGACGAATCAAATTGACGACAGCATGTTCATCGGCAAACAACAGACCATGATCTACATACCCGCCACTACGGCGTAGCTCATTCACGCGCCGTAAGCTGCATGCGCGCGTAAAACTCCAGACCAGCGCGTCGAGATACATCGGTTATACCACCCTTGTATGTATCTGACATACTGGCACCATGCCTATTGGACGCTTCGATCCTTTTCTTCGTCGCGCTTCTTAATCGGCTACTGAGAGTATTCCAGATGCTACAACTCAAACTGTCTGCTCTTACGATCTTCCTCAGTCTTCTTGTCATCTTCCCTAGCTCGCTTCCAACCTTCATCATATCGCTTGCGAACTTCATCATATTGCTTCCGAAACTCGTCATATCGCTTCCGAAGCGCCTCAGCGCGCTTCTGTACTCGCGCCAATTCATCCCCCGAAAGTTCAACGTCCTCGTCTATTCCATCCACATCAAAAGATCTTAACCGCTTGGCAACACCGTCAGAAACCGAAAACACTCCCTCATTCCGCTCAACGACCAAAGCGTGCCTCCTTTTCACTCGTTCATTCTCTTCCTTCTTTCCAAGCATCTCACCACTCCGGAAGACAAACGTGCGGTCAGTAAGTCGCTTCCACAACTTAACGAATGGACATGACGTTTCATCGGACTTATCCGAGCTTTTTGCAATACGAGACTTGGAAGAGATGTGGATGCGGCCATCGTTAGACTTCAGCGGGGGATCACCAGCGTGGTTCATCTGCTCGGCAAAATCCTGCCACAGCGCGTTCATCTCTGTTTGATAAGCCTCGGGCATATCATCGTAATCGGGGTACTCCTTATACATAGCGGTAATCCGATTCGTTATCTTCTTAAGTTTACGCGTAGGCGTGTCCTGGTTGATACGCCAGATCTTCCCGGCAGGACCATACAGCTCGATAAGTTCTTCTACAGTGGTGATCGAAGGATCGATTCGTCGGCTCAGCGTGCTGACATATGCGTCCAAGTCCTCTTTTGTAGCTGGATCCATTTCAAGGGAGTTAATGGCGGCTTGAACTTCGTCTGTGAATGTGGACATGGCTTGTTTGGCGTTATCGAGAGCGAGGATGGCACGATTGCCAGCGGTAGCGATGTTCGCTTGTACGGAGGCTTTTGGCGGGGCGGAGGCGGAGGCGGACACTAGGCATGCTAGGCTAGCGAAGAGGGTGGTAGTCGTGGACAGCTTCATGTTTGTGACGAGTGACTTTGGGTATAAGGTTGAGAGATTGAGTAGAGGCGGTGGATGGGAGGGGATCAGAAGGTAGACTGGTGGTACCATATATACATCGAGGGAAGAAGCAAGAGGGTGGGTGATTCACGCGCGGACCGTGCTGTGGGAAGGCGAGTGAGCTGCCTATCGATGACATGCTTTCACTATCTACGGAGGACTAGCGGTGTCTTTCACGCGTGGTTCCATGTAGTGAGACAAACTTATGCACACTTAGATAAAGGTAGCAAACAATATGGGGTATCCTAACACATCCAAACTAATCCGCCCGAACAGAGACGCCGCGCAATGCTTTTCGAAATATGCAACAGAAACATTTTTTCTGTTCAATCAAAGTCCTCCCATCTGACTAACCTCCCCAAATCCCACTCTCGCCCTACCACCTCTCGGCCTCCCCCTCTTCATCGCACTTCCACCAACAGCAACACTCCCCCCAAACCCACCTTCCCTCAACCTCCTCTCAAAACTCGTCACACCACCAACCCCCAACCTCGCATCCCTACTACTCTGCACAGGCGGCGCACTCATAGTCCCCAACCTACCCCTTCCCTCCCTCTCCAGAAACGAAGAGCCCAGCGGCCGCCGCACAGGAGAAAGAACACGTGCTTTCTCAGGACTAGGCGGGAGTTCAGGTCGTTTAGCACGGACAACGCTACGTTTACTGGGTGTTTTGAGGTAGCCTGGTTTACTGCTTGTGGTAGGTGGAGGGGGTAAGGGCGTTCCGGACCAAAAGGTAGATTGTGCGGCGTCGCCGAAGGAGAGGTCGGATTCGTCGTCTTCGGGGATGGTTGCGGGAGGGGGGCGGGCGGCAGATTGAGGTTGCGGGTAGGTATTGGGCCGACGGAGTATTGAGCCTGGGGGGCGGGTTGATGCGGGTGAGGGTATGGGAGCGTAGGGGTTGGGGGTCAGTGTTGGATGGCGGGGTGGTTGTTCTGGCGTGAGAGACAGGGAGAGGTCAAGATCGTTGTTAAGACCCAAAGCGGTCTCGTCGAAGGCGGTCCAGGACTCGAGTCGTTGCGTTTCGTCGCCGGATTGCTGGAAGCCTCCTTGCCCGGCATCGTTGTTGCTGTCATTGTAGGCGAAGTCTTCATCATTTCCGTGACCGTTGTAGTCATCGCCATCATCTTGTCTGCGTCTTCTCGACCTACTAGGAGGCGATGGACTCGCAACCCGTTGGCCACGCCGCTCGGTAGCACGCTCGGCCCAGAAACGAACCATGGCCCTAACATGCTTCTCAAAGTTCCTCTCGAACAACGCTCTCGCGTTCTCCTCTTGCCTCTGGAAGTTCCAAAGACGCCAGCCCATCTTCTTCAGAGCACCAGTGGCAGCAATCTCTGTGCTCTCCTGCCGCAGAGCGACAGCTTGCCCTTCAAGTGTGTGTACAAGGTCCATGCGTTGTGACCAGATGGCGAAGTAACGGGTGGAGAGTTTGAAGGCGTGGAGGCTCTCGGCTTGGGCATCCTGCTGGCGGAGTATGAGCGTGCGGTCGTGCCATTGGTGCAAGATTGCGCCACTGCTTTGGAAAGTGCGATTGTCGAGTACATCGTTTGCCCTTTGTGTCAGCACTGCAATGTGGTTTGCCTTGTCCCGCCAGTGCTCAAAGACTCTGCGCACGAGATTCGTCTTGACCATTCTACGGACTTGCGAGTATGTGTCGCGTCTGCGATTACGGCGCGCATGTTGTGTGGCTTGGCTCCATGTGTTCAGTGTGTGTTTGCTAAGGACGTAGAAGCGCGCATCGGCCGACCATTGGTTCAACTCTTGGAAGTGTGCTAGCCTCTCCTTGAGCTTGTCGAAAATGCGTTGCTTGAGCTTTTGCTGATATTGGGATAGAATAGCGAACTGCTCCCTTCTTCTCTCCGTAGTGATAGCTTCCATCTTGCGCAAACACGTCCGCATCAGCTGAGCACGCTTGAACTGGGCGAACCGAACTTCCGCAGTATCGAGGGTGTTGACGCGCTGGTTGGTCTTGGTGACCCAGGATAGGAATGTTGACTGCTTGAGCTGTCGATCGTGGACACGCTGGAAGAGGGATACTCGGGATGCTAAGGTCCATTTGTACAAGCATTCAACAATGATGCGGTCGTTGATCCGATCCTCGAGAGCTTTGATTCGCAATCTGTCATTCCAGGCAGTGTAGGCATTGCGTAGGACGCGCATGCGGTCAACATTGCGTGCTTGATGGGATAGCTGAGCGTCTTTGCGCCAATCCTGGAACTTTGCACGAAGCAAACGACCGTTGGTGCGTGCTTGGACCTGGCGCAGTAGTGGCTCGAGCTGTGCCTGCCTCTGGAGTGTCTGGACTGTTGTTCGAAGAAGGGAAGTCTGTCGAAATTGGTCCGCCTGGGTTTGCAGTGTCTTTACTGCCACTGTCTTCTGCTGCCACGTCCGGAACGTCTTGCGCATGAGTGTTCCATCGCGCCGATCCGTGGCCCACATGTTCCGCTCCCTCATGATCTCGGTGATCTCGCGCCATTTCTGCAGTGTTGTCCTTGCTGTCCTTGTATCATGCCAGTTTGCTGCGCCTCTGTTGAGGTACTCGTTGTTGAGAGCATTCCACGACTTCCTGACGATCTTCTCTTCATAGTATGACTCAGCGAAGTCATTGCGATCCTGCACTTTTGCTGCGCGTGCTCGCCATATAGAGAGGAACTTTGCAAGAGCAAAGTGCTGGATCTTCAGTTCGTTGACTGCCGTGATATCGCGCCAGCCGTTGAAGAAGCGTGTGCGTAGAATATGCCGTCGCGCAACAGATGTTCGTTGAACCTCGTCCTCCGCGCATTTTGCCCAGTGCGTAAAGGCTTTGGTGAGCAGGAATAGACTGCGAGCCTTGTCTGCACGGGTTTCTAGTCGATCGAAGAAGCGATTCGTCTCTCGACCAGAACGCCTCACAAGCGCGGTGTCTCGTAGCTGCAAGAGGGAGGCCCTGAGCAAGACACGACGATCGAAGGCGACGGCTGCTCTCTCCATATCGTCGCGCAAATTCATGCGCTCTTGCGTGCGGTTCCGCCATATCCGTATACACTCCCGCGTCACTCGGTGTAGCCGTTGCTCTTCGAAAGTTTCCGCATCGTCCATCAATCGGGTATCGGAGGGTCGGAACGGTTCGGGGACATACTGTTGGTGTTGTGTCTGTCGTGATTGCTGAAGGCGGCGCTGGTGCGGGGAATCGTAGGGATCGTTCGGTATGGGCGCGTTCACTCCTGGTATCTGGATGGAAGAGAGGTCGAGGCTAGCCGTGTGGTCGGTGAAATCGCTCTCGTCTGCATCGTGAGTTCCAGTTCTGTATGTCGTTGTAGGATTTCTTCGAATTCGCAGACTGCCGTAACTTGAGACAGATGTACTGCGCTTGTGGACTGGCGGCTGCTGTCCGGAACTCGACCTCCGAGGCGCGACGCCATTCACTTTGGGGCGACTGGGAAGTGGCGCTGGCCGGTACGAATGCGCTTCGGTGTCTGATGTCGCGCGACGATGGCTGCGGGGCTTGTTGGCATAGCCATCAGGAGCATTCTGCTGTGATGCTCTCCTCGGGCGCACAGCCAAATCGCCATAGTCGGTGCCTGCGACCTTGTCTGCAGTCCCATCAAGGAAAGAGTCGAAACTCCCGGTTCTCGTATACCGCCCTAGGCTCGCCTGCGCCCCTCTACGCGTCGCGTCAATGTTATTCGGGACTTCAACGACCTCTTCGTCGCCGAGTTCTCCGTTGAGGCCGAAATGCTCCTTCACCACGCGCAGGACTAGCGACATCAAGTCTTCGCCTTCCCGGCCATATTCCTGCATGCGCAACAGGAAACTGTAGTAGAGAGCGGCATCGGTAGGCGAAGAACGGTGCTCCTTGACATATTCGTCATATGCGACGAAAAGAGCGTCAATGGATCCATCGTGGGAGTCTTGCGCGCGAAGGACGATATTGTGAATGGCATCGGAGACTACTGCGGTGTTAGTATATCCATTGATCGTTTTTTTGCCCTGATTATTTTACCTTCATCCCGACAAAGATCATCAGCTGTTATAGCCCTCGCATCATCTCCATTCAGCCTCATGGAGGATAGCATTCGTGCACGCGACTAGTTCGTCTCCGGCGCGTTCGCGACAACATGGAAGGGACCGGCGGCTGTAATGATTCAAACAGCAACCAAAAAGCAGCGGCATGCGAGAAAGTAGTCGTGGGTCCGTCGCGCAACAATTAAGCATTACAAGTCCAAAGTAAGAAGAGAGGAGCGATGAAGGGCTGTTGGTGCGCCCGCGTTTTGGCGTTAGCAGCGACGCGCTTTGTTGTTGGAGTGGTTGGCCGCCCGCGTTCGCGGATGCGAGGGTGCCAAGGCTTTAGTTGGGTGGGCCCTGTTCGTTGACCTCATCGAGGTGGAAGAGCGTGGGTTCGCCGTGGCCAGAGACCTTCACATATCTGGGAGGAGCTACTTCTTAATAACACTGCTACTTATAATACTCGAGCGGGATACACAGTACTGCTCGAGATGCCCGGTCGAACCCGTCCCATCGATAAACTCGCCACAGCGGCTGCAAAATGCTCGACAGAGGTATGATACGCCCCTCAGTGACAGTCAGGTTCAACTCAATGCTGACATACTCCAGAGCGCAGTATACGGCAAATGCATATTCGCAGACTACAACAATGTACGAAAAGACATGTGCGTCAATGAGTTCATGAAGCTGAAGGAGTGCTATCTGGTAACATCTCCCTCACAGCATCAAAATGCATTACAACTAACCTCACGTACAGAAGGCGTATAAACAGCGGTGACGGCACTCGTAGCGACCCATCATTCTCTTTGAAGCACACAGCATACGAAGGCGTTAATTGTAAACATAGAAATTTTGATTTCCTTTCATCAACGAGTCATGCGCGCCACTATACTATCAAACCACTCCAGGAAGCTACTATAGCTTGATCAACCGCAACATGAAAGTCGCCTTGTGGAGCTCTTGCTCCTCTTCCGCAA